TTGCAGTGCCAAAGAAACGAGAGGCAGCGAGATAGAGCCAGACTGCAGATGTTGACGAACAAAATGACAATCAATCTCAATATGCTTCGTCCGCTCATGGAAGACAGTGTTATGGGCAATCTGAATAGCACTGAGGTTGTCACAGTAAAGGGAGGTCGGACAAGACTAAGGGACACCCAAATCAATCAAGAGACAGCGAAGCCAAACAATTTCAGTAGTGGCATGGGCCATAACACGGTACTCAACTTCGACAGTTGAACGAGCAACAATGGTATGTTTCTTGCTCTTCCAAGAAGTCAAGGAATCACCAAGAAACATGCAGAAATCAAAAGTGGACTTGCGATCAGTGACATCACCAGCCTAATCAGAATCAGCATAGGCTACCACGTCTAAGGAAGAAGTAAAAGACAATAGCAAGCCCTAAAAGATAGTACCTCAAAGATAGCGAAGAATCCGAATCAAAGCAGCCCAATGTATAGAACGAGGAGCAGAAACGAGCTGGCTAACCACATAAACAATAGAGGCAAGATTAAGGTGAGTGACAGTCAGGTAAACCAAGTAACCCACAAGCTCTCGATATAAATAGGATCATCTAGAGGGGCACCATCAATAGTGTTAAGCTTGCATTAAACTCAATGGGGGTATCAGAAAGATCGGCATGGTGAACAACTTCATTGGTATGCTTGGCTTGAGAGAGAAAATACCCCTTAGGAGAATAGGCAACCTCAATACTAAGAAAATACCGCAAAAAGCCCAGATCTTTCATTTCAAAGATGCAAAAGAGATGTTGCTTGACTTCAGAGATAGCAGAAGAGTCAGAACCAGTGATGATCATATCATCCACATAAAGTAACAGGGCCACAAAACTAGCAGAGATATAGAGAAGAAATAAAGTAGAATCCTAGGCACAAGAATGAAACCAAAGTTGAGTAACAGTCGTCTGATAGTGATCATACCAAGCACGAGAAGATTGCTTCAAACCATACGAAGCACGCGAAGATGACAAACCTGTTCAAAGGAATAGTGAAGGCCAGGGGGAAGACGTATATAATCTCCTTAGTGAGATGGCCATTGAGGAAGGCATTTTTAACATTTATTTAATAAAAAGGCCAATGATGAACAACAGCGACAAAGATCAAAGTACGGACAATAGTCATCTTTGCAACAGGGGCAAAGGTCTCCTTATAATCAATACCATACTCCTATGAGAAACCTTTGGCAACCAAACGAGCTTTTTAACGCTCAAAAGAACCATCAAAATGAATCTTGACTTTATAAACTCATTTGCAACCCACCAGATTCTTGCCAAAAGTAGTAGTCTTCTGCAATGCAAACAACTCATTTTCTATAGCCCGAACCCAATTAGGATCCTGACAGGCCTCCTTATAAGTCTGGAGTTTTGAAAATGAGTGACTAGCAAACAACAAGGTGTAATATGAAGTAGAAAAACATGTTTTAGCAAAACCAAGTTTGATTACCTGTTTACGGTTGCGAAGGGGATACTTACGGTTAGCAAGATCAGAGTCATTAGAAGCAAGATGATCAGCAGCAGGAGTAGAGACAACCGGTGGAGGAAGAGCCTTATGACAAGAATAGACTAACAAGGGAGGAGGAGGAGAAGGAGGAGGAGGATGAGGAGGAGGAGAAGAGAGAAAAGACTTATGGGGGACAGTAGAAATGGACTTAACAAGAAGGGTGGTAGAATGAGAAGAGGGAACAAGCTCATAGGGAACAGTAGAGATGTACTCATCAGAAGGGACCTCATAAAAAAATAGATGAATGTGGACCAAATCCTCTTTGAAAACCTGAGTAATGATAAAAGGAAGTTAATAGTAAGACAGACGTTCAAGAAAGGAAACATGGTAGGAAACATAAAGGCGAAGGAAACAAGGTCATAACAGTGATAGCTTTCTGAGTAAGACTGTAACCTCAAAAGACACACAAGACAGATCGGGAACTAAGTTTGGTCCTATCTTTATGAGGAAGAAGGACAAAGCAAGTAGACCCAAACACACGAAAGAGGGAGTAATTGGAAAGTTGAGAAAACAGAGCTTTATAAAGAGACCAACCAAAGAGAAGGGAAGTAGGCATATGGTTGAAACGAAAAACAGCAATAAGAACTACCTCACTCCAAAATGGAGTCGAACAGAAGTATAGAGAAGAGACCTAGCTGTCTCAAGGAGATAACGATATTTATGCTCAACTTGACCATTTTGGGCAGGTGTATCAGTACATGAATGATATCTAAATTGGCCAAATACTCACAAAACTCAGTTTTAAAATATTCCTTACCTAAGTCAGATCGTAACATTTTAATAGTAGACCCAAACTGTGTAGTAATCGTAGATTGAAATGTATGGTATATCTGGTAAAAGTCAGATTTATAAGTCATAAAATAAACTCAAGTATAGCAAGTGCAATCATCAACAAACGACACATAATAAGCAGAACTCCCTTTAGTGAGAATAGCACCCTAGACATTAGTATGCACAAGAGAAAATGGGGCAACATAAATAGAAGTAATTTTATTAAATGGTAATGTGGTCATTGTGGCAAGTTTACACCCCTGATATTCAGTAATTTGACTAGGAGAAACTTTACCTAACAATCCTGATTGAGCTAACAACCGTAACCGGACAACAGACAAATGGCTAAATCTAAATAAAAAGGACTTGACTAAGAATCTAACTGAAACGAGAAAAAAGCAACCGGAGAGGTAATCATAGGTAGATACAAGCTCTCTACCACATAGAGATCTCCAACTCTACGATTGGTTCCAATTTGTTTCTTGGACAATTGATCCTGCACACAACAAATAGAAAAATAAAAGATAACATCAAGACCGAAAGCATCAAGCTGACTAATAGATAACAAACTGACAAATAACTGAGGTACATAAAAGACATAAGGGATAGTAAGTGCAGACATGGTAGACGGCAGTACAGACCCAACAAATAAGATAAACATACCAAACCCATTGGCAGCATTAACAATAATAGGAAAGGGAGGGGGAATACAGTTATAAAGTAAGGAGAGATAGGAAGTCATATGATGAGAAGTACCAGAGTCAAATATCCAAAATGAAGAAGAGATACATGAAGAAGAACCAAGTAAACCTAAATAAAGAGAGGTGAGAGCGAAGGCAGATGGGGATAGCTAGGACGTAGACATCATATACTGAAGCTGAGTAATCTGAACACTCAAGGCAGCCAAGTCAGGATCAAAAGTCAAAGCAAATGTAGCATAAGCAACTGGAGGCTAAAAAGTACTCAAAGGAGCTTTGAACTGAGACTGCTGAGCAGGCGGATGTCCCTTCTTGGGACAGTTGTACTTCCAATGGCCCCTCTAATAGCATAAAGCACACTCATTTGAAGCTAAAGACCCCTTCTGGGCTTCATAGTGGCCTGAAGCTGATGAGGAGGTAAGGTTAATAGCAGTAGAGGCTGAGTAGGAGCCAAAAAAATAGATGGAGACAAAGTCTGGCTGGCCATCTGAAGACAGGTTTCCTCGAAGAGGAGCTCACGAACAATAGCATCCATAGAAGGAAGAGGAGACCGGTGAAGGATGCCATCACGGATAGTCTCAAATTGAGGAGAAAGAGCCGTTAAGAATTGTACCAAATGGCCCTCCTCCCAAAACAACAATAAGCATCCAGTCCTTAATACTAGATGGTTCCATGAAAGCAAGCTAATCTCAGAGTCCCATCATCTCAATGTAAAAATCCTGAATAGACCGATCCCGCTAACGAGCACTCTGAATGCCTGTTTTCAACTCATACCGCTTGGCAAAGTTAGACTGCTGATAAACTCCAAGTAAATAGTCCCACACCTCCTTGGCAGTTGTATACTTAGAAAACATCATTCCAATACAATCTTCCACAGAGTTGTGAAACCATGTCAGAAATTGGGTATTATCACAATCCCAAGTGTCACAAGCAACAAGATATCCATCCTTTTTCGGATCCGATGGACAAGAAACAGAACCATAAACATATCCCAATTTCTTTCGTCTGAGAAGAAAATTTTTCATAACATTAGACCAATACGCATAATTGTCACCAATAAGTTTGCATTTGATAGCCTGAATTTTATCCTCTAACGTTGTAATGAACCAGAAAAAGAAAAGAGAACCGATGGGGATCTAACTGTAAAAATAGAAAATTAATGGGTCACCAAGTAATATACCAAGAATAGAATAGCAGACACACCTTCTAGATTCTGATAGGTCACAAACCAATGAGATAGAGAGAGAGAGAGAGAACTCACGAAGCAGAGGCCAAACAATGGAGCAATTGAGCCACAACCAACCGTGACCCACAATTGACGAAGTTCAAAAGAGAACTAGTTGCGAGGGAGAACTTCGTGATCAGAGACAAAGAAAGAGAGCATTTCATTAATCAAATACAAAGCAGAGAGCTTCAATCGACACTCAATCCTGAGAGAGAGATTGCAAACACCAATGGGTATGGGTGTCGCGATTCTGGACCAGAAAGAAAATTCCGTGAACACAACCAGAGAGAGAACTTCGCAAACACTAATTGCAATTCTGGTGCTCTACGAACTGCGACTCAAGTATCACGAACACCCAGCAAAACTTTAAGAACCAAATTTGATCGAGGTAGAAGATGACCCATGACTCACTACTCATACAGAGACTGAAGAGAAAGACAATTTTTAGGGTTTCAGTGGTAGCTCTAATACCATGTAAGAATTTTGAATAACTCTGTATATTCAATTGTCAAACAATATAAGGAGTACAACCGATTCATATAGTAATTCTAAACCTAAGCTAAAACAGGAAATAAGAATAAACCTAATATTCTTAAAATCAATCACAATTAATCTAATATTCACACAATCAATCTAATATATATACACAATTAACATAATATTCTCACACCAATGTCATCAAATCAAATAGCATCACTAAGTCATTAATTTGTACCATTCATCCAAAGTATATAAAAGTTGTCCACATCAACATATTATTACGAAGAATACCTGAATGTGGAGATGTAATTTGTGATTCTTTGATAGCATCATCTTCCTCATCCAACCCATCATCAGATTGTGATTCACCATCTTTGGATTGTTCCACTGAAGAAGAATTAGATGTGTTTCCCCCTATCATAGTGGGGGAGATGTGATTATAATTCCTACTGCGCCACCAAGGTTCTGAACATGCGGCTGATGGTAAAATGTTATATGGATTAGCTTCTATTTGATTCACACTTTCTGACTTTGACTGCATGCTTCCAAATTCTTTCAAAATAAAAATATCATTATCTTAATTTCTTAAGAGGAAACAAGAAAAACACAAAAAAGCACACAGATCATTCAAGCAAATTTCAAAGAGAGAAAAACACTAGAATTCAATCGTAAATTGCAACCATTGCAACAAAATACTTCAAACTCTTGATGTGCCTCCTGCAAAATGCCTTCATGAACAAACGAAGGCAATTTGGCTCATGTACCATACCTGAATTTGCAATGCTCTCATCTACTTGGACTTTTGCTCAAGAGTAGGTAACACTTTTCTATGATTAAGGCCTCATTTGGCAACATCACTTTTTAGCCTAAAAGTCAAAAAGTCACTAAAAAAATCAAAAAGCCAAAAATCTATATCAAAAAGTCAAAGATTTTCTGTTATCTCTATTTTTTGCACATCTTTTTGTAAAAAACCAAAAAGTTATCCTAAACATACTAATTTTTTTTACATCATACATTAACCAACAAGCCAAAAAGTTATTAAAAAAACCTGTTCCCAAACGAGACCTAACAATCTCAATCTCATTCCACCTATGGCTTTTTTTTTTCTTCTTTTTTTTTTTTAAAAAAAAAAAAAAAAAAGGAAGAAGAGATTCCATTCAAGCTTCAGGGTCCACTAGTTAGAAAAACAAGCTTTAGAAGCTCATAACAAAGGAAAACCAAACTGTTCAGCCGTCAATCCTACAGCCATTGATTTGGCTTTGATTCAGGATAAAAAGCAAGAAATTGTATATCCATGGATGAACTAATCGAAGAGGGCCACCCCATAAAAACAAATCTCCATTGCTTTCCTTGTGTGTTCTAAATCTAATATTGGTTGTTTACCTTAAAAAAAGCTTTCCCTTAAAAAAATGCTCCCGGTTTTAATTCCCCATTGGATGTGGGAATCTGCGAGGGGTAGTATTGGGTCCATGCAGATCTAACCTTTGGCAATATCTTCCCGCAAAGTACACTCGATTAGAACTCATTAGATTGGGGCCCTGGGAAGCGGGTAAGATTGGGTACTGAACCTAACCTTTGGACATAGTAATTTGCATAGAAGTGGTTGCCGGTAAGTTTGATCCTTACACAGGTTTTTGTTAGGTTCCTGGTCGTATCATTGAAAACAAAATCAACTTCCTAAATAATCATACAAGAAGTAACTGAAAATGGTTTATATGCGGGTGAATTCCTTCTTTGTCTCAACATTCAAGTTATCTTAAACATGATGGATTGCACATCCCTTCATAAGTACTGCATGATGAAGCAACAAAAGAAAGTATATCGATCATCGCCCTAGCTCAAACAAACTTCCCACCAAATCAAATAAATATATCCTCATATAGTCAAATTAAGCTTCTGCAAATAAATAATCATTCTCTAACCAAATCAGCATATGATGAAATCCATTGAGAATCAAGAAGTTGTCAGAAAACATGTATGGACTTCCATTCGTCAGAGTTCTGAATACAGCTTTGTACATATTAACTGTGAAATAATACACAGCGAATCAACACGGATTCTATATACGTAATTCTAAGCCTAAGCTAACAATAGGAATAAGAATTAAAACTTAATATTCTCTACAAATCAATCATAATAATCCTAATACTTCACACAACTCAACTCTAATATATCACCACACAATAAGACCATCAATATTCTTCACCCCCGCTCCCATCAATTCAAGGTGTTTTAGCAGAAAACATTGAATGTGTGTCAAAAAAAATCAGCAGTGAAGTAATATTAATAAAAAAAACAGAAAAGTTGAGTGCCAAAGAATACGAGAGGACGCGAGATAAGCGGCAGACTGCAGATGATTGACGAACAAAATACAATCATATAAATATGTCTTCCGTCCAATATCATGGAAAGACAGTGTATGGCAATGAGATAGCACTCTCTAGATAAGTAACGAGAAGTCGGAAAACAAACGACTAAGCGACACCCACTAATCCAAGAGACACGAGCCAAACAATTTCCAGCGTAGTGGAATGGGCCAATACACGGCTACTCAACTCGACAGTTGAATCGAGACAATGCAGATATAGTTCTTACTTAATCCAAAAGTCAAGGAATCCACCAAGAACATGCAACGAAATCAAAAGTGGACTGCGATAGTACATCACAGCACCTAATCAGAATTCGCATAGGCACCACGTCTAAGGAAGAAGTAAAAGACATAGCAGCCTAACAGATAGTACTCAGATAGCGAAGAATTCCGAATCAAAGCAGCCCATGTGTAAACGAGAGCAGAAACGAGCTGGCGTAACCACATAAATAGAGGCAGATATAAGATGAGTGACAGTCAGGAAGACAAGTACCCACAAGCTCTCGATAATAAAATAGGATCATCATAGAGGAGCCACCATCAATAGTGTTAAGCTTGCATAAACTCAATGGGGGTTCAGAAGATCGCATGTGAAAAACTTCATGGTTATGCTTGGCTTGAGAGATAATATAGAGAATAAGGCATCCAATAAAAAAATACCAAAAGCCAAGATCTTTCATTTCAAAGATGCAAAAGAGATGTTAGCTTGACTTCAGAAATAGCAAGAAGAGTGCAGACCAGGATGATCATATCATCCACATAAAGTACAGGGCACAAAACTAGCAGAGATATAGAAGAGAAATATAGAATCCTAGGCCAAAGAATGAAACCAAAGGTTGAGTAACAAGTCGTCTGATAGTAGATATAAAGCAGAGATTGCTTCAAACCATACGAAGCACGCGAAGATGACAAACTGTTCAAAGGAATAGTGAAGGCAGCGGGGAAGACGTATATAATCTCTTAGTGAGATGGCCATTGAGGAAGGCATTTTTAACATTTATTTAATAAAAAGGCCAATGATGAACAACAGCGACAAAGATCAAAGTACGACAAATAGATCATTGCAAAGAGGGCAAAGGTCTCCTTATAATCAAATCCATACTCCTTGAGAAACCTTTGGCACCAAACGAGCTTTTTAACGCTCAAAGAACCATCAAAATGAATCTTGACTTTATACTCATTTGCAACCCACCAGATTCTTGCCAAAAGTAGTAGTTTCTGCAATGCAAACAACTATTTTCTATAGCCCGAACCAATTAGGATCCTGACAGGCCTCCTTATAAGTCTGAGTTTTGAAAATGAGTGACTAGCAAACAAAAAGGTGTAATATGAAGTAGAAAAACATGTTTTAGCAAAACAAGTTTGATTACCTTTTACGGTTGCGAAGGGATACTTACGGTTAGCAAGATCAGAGTCATTAGAAGCAAGATGAAGCAGCAGGAGTAGAGACAACCGGTGGAGGAAGAGCCTTATGACAAGAATAGACTAACAAGGGAGGAGGAGGAGGAGGAGGAGGAGGGAGGAGGAGAGAAGAGAGAAAAGACTTATGGGGGACAGTAGAAATGGACTTAACAAGAAGGGTGGTAGAATGAGAAGAGGGAACAAGCTCATAGGGAACAGTAGAGATGTACTCATCAGAAGGGACCTCATAAAAAAATAGATGAATGTGGACCAAATCCTCTTTGAAAACCTGAGAATGATAAAAGGAAGTTAATAGTAAGACAGACGTTCAAGAAAGAGGAACATAAGGTAAAGGAACAAGGTCATAACAGTGATAGCTTTCTGAGTAAGACTGTAACCTCAAAAGACACACAAGACAGATCGGGAACTAAGTTTGGTCCTATCTTTATGAGGAAGAAGGACAAAGCAAGTAGACCAAACACACGAAAGAGGAGTAATTGGAAAGTTGAGAAACAGAGCCTTATAAAGAGACCAACCAAAGAGAAGGGAAGTAGGCATATGGTTGAGAACGAAAAACAGCAATAAGAACTACTCACTCCAAAATGGAGTCGACAGAAGTATAGAGAAGAGACCTAGCTGTCTCAAGGAGATAACGATATTTAGCTCAACTTGACCATTTGGGCAGGTGTATCAGTACATGAATGATATCTAAATTGGCCAAATACTCACAAAACTCAGTTTTAAAATATTCCTTACCTAAGTCAGATCGTAACATTTTAATAGTAGACCCAAACTGTGTAGTAATCGTAGATTGAAATGTATGGTATATCTGGTAAAAGTCAGATTTATAAGTCATAAATAAATCAAGTATAGCAAGTGCAATCATCAACAAACGACACATAATAAGCAGAACTCCCTTTAGTGAGAATAGCACCCTAGACATTAGTATGCACAAGAGAAAATGGGGCAACATAAATAGAAGTAATTTATTAAATGTAATGTGGTCATTGTGCAAGTTTACACCCCTGATATTCAGTAATTTGACTAGGAGAAACTTTACCTAACAATCCTGATGAGCTAACAACCGTAACCGGACAACAGACAAATGGCTAAATCTAAATAAAAAGGACTTGACTAAGAATCTAACTGAAACGAGAAAAAAGCAACCGGAGAGGTAATCATAGGTAGTACAAGCTCTCTACCACATAGAGATCTTCCAACTCTACGATTGGTTCCAATTTGTTTCTTGGACAATTGATCCTGACCAAAAAATAGAAAAATAAAAGATAACATCAAGACCGAAAGCATCAAGGTGACTAATAGATAACAAACTGACAAATAACTGAGGTACATAAAAAGACATAAGGATAGTAAGTGCAGACATGGTAGACAGGCAGTACAAGACAACAAATAAGATAACAATCAAACCATTGGCAGCATTAACAATAATAGGAAAGGGAGGGGAATACAGTTATATAAGTAAGGAGAGATAGGAAGTCATATGATGAGAAGTACCAGAGTCAAATATCCAAAATGAAGAAGAGATACATGAAGAAGAACCAGTAAACCTAAATTAAAGAGAGGTGAGAGCGAAGGCAGATGGGGATAGCTAGGACGTAGACATCATATACTGAAAGCTGAGTAATCTGAAAACCAAGGCAGCCAAGTCAGGATCAAAAGTCAAAGCAATGTAGCATAAGCAACTGGAGGCTAAAAAGTACTCAAAGGAGCTTGAACTGAGACTCTGAGTCAGGCGGATGTCCTTCTTGGGACAGTTGTACTTCCAATGCTCTAATGGAAACAAGCACACTCATTTGAAGCTAAAGCCCTTCTGGGCTTTCATAGTGGGCCTGAAGCTGATGAGGAGGTAAGTTAATAGCAGTAGAGGCTGAGTAGGAGCCAAAAAAATAGATGGAGACAAAGTCTGGCTGGCCATCTGAAGAGGTTTCCTGAAGAGGAGCTCACGAACAATAGATCCATAGAAGGAAGAGGAGACGTGAAGGATGCCATCACAGTAGTTCTCAAATTGAGAGAAGAGCCGTAAGAATTGTACCAAATGGCCTCCTCCCAAAACAACAATAAGCATCCAGTCCTTAATACTAGATGGTCCATGAAAGCAAGCTAATCTCAGAGTCCCATCATCTCAATGTAAAAATCCTAATAGACGATCCCGCTAACGGCATGATGAATGCCTGTTTTCAACTCATACCGCTTGGAAGTTAGACTGCTGATAAACTCAAGTAAATAGTCCCACATCCTTGGCAGTTGTATACTTAGAAAACATCATTCCAATACAATCTTCCACAGAGTTGTGAAACCATGTCAGAAATTGGTATTATCACAATCAGTTCGACAAGCAACAGATATCATCCTTTTTCGGATCCGATGGACAAGAAACAGAACATAAACATATCCAATTTCTTTCGTCTGAGAAGAAATTTTTCATACATTAGACCAATACGCATAATTGTCACCAATAAGTTTGCATTTGATAGCCTGAATTTTATCCTCTAACGTTTGTAATGAACCAGAAAAAGAAAGAGAACCGTGGGGATCTAACTGTAAAAATAGAAAATTAATGGTCACAAGTAATATACAAGAATAGAATAGCGACACATCTTCTAGATTCTGATAGGTCACAACCAATGAGATAGAGAGAGAGAGAGAGAGAGAGAGAGACTCACGAAGCAGAGGCCAACAATGGAGCAATTGAGCCACAACAACCGCGACCCACAATTGACGAAGTTCAAAAGAGAACTAGTTGCGAGGGAGAACTTCGTGATCAGAGACAAGAAAGAGAGCATTTCATTATCAAATACAAAGCAGAGAGCTTCAATCGACACTCAATCTGAGAGAGAGATTGCAAACACCAATGGGTATGGGTGTCGCGATTCTGGACCAGAAAGAAAAATTCCGTGAACACAACCAGAGAGAGAACTTCGCAACACTAATTGCAATTCTGGTGCTCTACGAACTGCGACTCAAGTATCACGAACACCCAGCAAAACTTTAAGAACCAAATTTGATCGAGGTAGAAGATGACCCATGACTCACTACTCATACAGAGACTGAAGAGAAAGACAATTTTTAGGTTTCAGTGGTAGCTCTAATACCATGTAAGAATTTTGAATAACTTCTGTATATCAATTGTCAAACAATATAAGGAGTACAACCGATTCATATAGTAATTCTAACCTAAGCTAAAACAGGAAATAAGAATAAACCTAATATTCTTAAAATCAATCACAATTAATCTAATATTCACACAATCAATCTAATATATATAACAATTAACATAATATTCTCACACCAAATGTCATCAAATCAAATAGCATCACATAGTCATTAATTTGTACCATTCATCCAAAGTATATAAAAGTTGTCCACATCAACATATTATTACGAAGAATACCTGAATGTGGAGATGTAATTTGTGATTCTTTGATAGCATCATCTTCCTCATCCAACCCATCATCAGATTGTGATTCCATCTTTGGATTGTTCCACTGAAGAAGAATTAGATGTGTTTCCCCTATCATAGTGGGGGAGATGTGATTATAATTCCTACTGCGCCACCAAGTTCTGAACATGCGGCTGATGGTAAAATGTTATATATGGATTCTTCTATTTGATTCACACTTTCTGACTTTGACTGCATGCTTCCAAATTCTTTCAAAAATAAAATATCATTATCTTAATTCTTAAGAGGAAACAAGAAAAACACAAAAAAGCACACAGATCATTCAAGCAAATTTCAAAGAGAGAAAAACACTAGAATTCAATCGTAAATTGCAACCATTGCAACAAAATACTTCAAACTCTTGATGTGCCTCTGCAAAATGCCTTCATGAACAAACAAGGCAATTTGGCTCATGTACCATACCTGAATTTGCAATGCTCTCATCTACTTGGACTTTTGCTCAAGAGTAGGTAACCTTTTCTATGATTAAGGCCTCATTTGCAACATCATTTTTAGCCTAAAAGTCAAAAAGTCACTAAAAAAATCAAAAAGCCAAAAATCTATATCAAAAAGTCAAAGATTTCTGTTATCTCTATTTTTTGCACATCTTTTTGTAAAAAACCAAAAAGTTATCCTAAACATACTATTTTTTTTACATCATACATTAACCAACAAGCCAAAAAGTTATTAAAAAAACCTTTCCCAAACGAGACCTAACAATCTCAATCTCATTCCCACTATGGCTTTTTTTTTTCTTCTTTTTTTTTTTTTTTTGGGGGGGGGGGGTGTTTCTAGAATCTACATTTTGAAAATATGGAAAAAAAAGATTGAGACCCCTAAAAAGGCTCCATTAATCCACCCATAATGACCTGACAAGTTACTTGTCAACTTTTGATTTGTTACAAACTCAACCCTATAAGGCCCAACTCCTTGTCCCTGTCAAGGGTATTGTGGGTTTCTAAAATTCCTCTAAAAACATAACTTAGGAACATTCTAGATAATTCATATTATATATTTTGATATTTTTTATGATTAAGCCATATGTTTTGATATTTTCTACAAGTGCAGGAAATTCATTATTTACAACATTATATTTTCTTCTGCAAGAAGCGATCCAACCCTCAACAAGGTCTAAAGAGAAAACTCAATTAGATTTTTTTTTTTCCATATATATAATATTTTCTAATTTTCTATATTACAACTTTATAATGTAAAATTCATTTTCCTCTTCTATTCTTGTAATTAAAATTCCGGGCCTTAACTATTAGGGCCTTTTTTTTTTTTTTAAGGGAGTCTTTAGTAAGGAAATTATTTTCCTTTATGGAGCCTTTAGACCAAGAGTGTTCTTTTAAGCTTGTACTATCGAAGGCCTTTGAACAAGGTGGAATTTTATCAGACTTTATAATTGGGGGCCTTTGGACTACGAATATTTCATTTTAGGCCTCTAGATAAGGAGGGATTTCTTTTTGTTGTGCCTTTTGACAAAGATTATTTTATTCGGTTTTTAACAAGGAACCTTTCTTCTTCTTCTTCTTTTTTTTATTTTTTATTTTTTTGATATGTTGGCCGAGTGTTTAGCTTTGGATAGATAACTTCAAAATTTGGGGCATTATACATCGGCCTTAATGACCTAACAGAATACTGAGCACATCTATTGGCATTGCATCTGCTACAATGTTAGCCTCCTCTATTTTTAAATTTTTTACATCATCATCTTTCTTGATACTTTTCTTTCATATTATTGATAAATCAATAGGGTTCCATGCCAAAACCCCAAGCTTCATAGATTGATTTCCTTCTATTTAAAGGGGGGAAAAAATGTAATAGTAATTCACCGGTTCTCATTTCTAATCGAAAATCAACAGTGGCCAGCAAAATTGATATAATCATAAAACTTACAAAACCAATAATTTAAACATCTTAAATGTGGAAAACCTTGCAAATCCATTAATAAACATCAAAATCCAATCTTAATTCTCCATCATAAACATAATATCTCAATAGCCTCAGATTTCAAAGAAACATAAAAAATTCACTCAAAATTCATTCAAATCAAAACATTGAATTAGAGAGAGAAACACTCCAAAACCCAATTCTTAAGAACCCAGAAGTCAAACAAACCACACATACATGCAGACACCAAATATATATACAACACATGTGTGTGTAGAGAGAGAAGCATACAGATGTCGAGCGAAGAAACCTATAACAAGTGAGAATCTTTGAAGAAACCCTAGAATTTGTTGGCACTGTCTTTCGGAGTCTTGGTCCTCGTAGAGAGAGAGAGAATTGAGGGAGTGAATCTATTTCCGTGTTGTGATCATTAAATCCAAAAAAACATCCGAGAGTATCTATCTCTATCTTATATCTCTCTATCCACATCTACTATTCTAGGACTGTTTGAACTCGACGCTTGTCTACCCAATGCTATTACAACACCTGCAGAGGGACCTATATGCGTTGTTCCGAGCTTTATGCACTGACACGCGTTCTATCATTTTGTCAACGAGTGATTATTGGGTATGTTTGATTGGGTAGATTAGAGTATGGGATTGGGATTATTAATCCGTGGGTCCAATTATCCTATGTTTGTTTAATATTTTGGTTTAGGATTATTAATCCAACGGATAATTAATCCAACAAATTTGTAGGATTATTAGTAATGGGGTAAGGGTGGGATTATTAATCCAATGGATATTAATCCCCTATGCTATTACAACACCTGCAGAGGGACCTATATGCGTTGTTCCGAGCTTTATGCACTGACACGCGTTCTATCATTTTGTCAACGAGTGATTATTGGGTGTTGTGTAAATTTAACCTGGCTTGTACTAGCCCATGGTCGAGCCTCGCGAGCTCTTCCCAATTGTCAAGTCTTGATGGGTCGACCTATAGGGAAAAAATCTTAGGTCAAGTTTGACATGATTGAAAAAAGACAAAAAGTCAAAAAGTCAAAAAGTCACTATTCTATTTAAGTCACTTCATCTTATTTAAGTCACATCACCTCTCTAATACATCACTTCAAACCCAACCCCTCTCTAATACATCACTTCAAACCCAACCCAAATCCAACCCATATTTTATAAAAAGTCAAAAAGTGCACTTATTTAGTCTTTTCAAACTAGACCTTAGTTTAAGTTCAAGTCCAAACCTACTTAAAATTGGGCTGCTAGCTGGGGTTCAGGCCGGGCCTAACTATTTTTTAATTTTTTTTCACTAAACTAGCTTGAAAATGATATAGGGCTTTTGGTGAATCTGACAGGATGAGTCTCGAGCAAGCCTTGGAGTGGCTTTAAGTGGGCTGGTGGGCCGAACTTTGAGCCAAACCTAGCAGGCTAGGCCTCAAAACATATGACCTAGACCCAGGGTCTCAGATTGGGCTCGAAGCATTGAATGGATTTTCTTTCGTGAAACCTTCTTTCACTCTTGTTTTATCTCCCTTTTTCATCAAGCATCCAACTCTACCATCTAGCATCCAAGATTACCATCAAGCATCTACATCAGTAAGCATATACAGGGAGCTTCAGCAAGAAGAACTTAGCTCGAAAACGACAATAACCAACATAATTATTTGAGTTTGTCAAATATAAGACTTCTCCTTCACGCCTGAAAATATGTATCATAATTCATGCCAAAAAAAGACAAAAACTATTGTAATTATTCGCGTCTGTCAGTTGTAAGACTTCTCCTTTACTCACTACTTTGATAGAGCAGACGACCTCTACTCTGCTCCATTAAAGAAAAGTTACGAGAATCCTTATATGCGTTTTATTTTTTCTTTTCTTTTCTTTGTGTAATATTTTGTAAACAAAAAACCAAGAGAGGGAGGATTGAATAATGTGCGATGGGGCCCAAAGTAATACCTCGCATCATTATCTTAATCCTTGGCTTATTTTTTTGGTAGTCGGTCTTTAGGAGTATGTACTACTATAAATAGATTACACTTTTCAGTTAGGAACACAAAAAAAAATCACTCAAGTCCTTATCTTTGTTCAACTTTCAAGTGCCTCAACTTTTGTCTTTCAAGTTTCTAAGTATCTTAGAGTCTGTAACATAATCTTTGTAAGTATTTTGTTAAATTAGGCCAAGTTTGGCATGTGGCCAAAAAGTCAAAAAGTCAAAAAGTTATTCAAAAAGTTAAAAAGTTATCACTACTCACCAAAAGTCAAAAATTACACCTGCACAACTCTCAATCCTAATTTCCCCCTACACACTAATTTACACAATTTTTTAATACATATTTTTCCATAAAAAGTCAAAAAGTTAATCCAAACAATCATATTTTTTTCCTCAACTTTTTAGTCCAAAAAGTCAAAAAGTGCACTTATTTAGGACATCCCAAATAACCCCTTAATATGAAGTGTAAGTAATTTCTTTTTTTCCTTGGGTATTTGGAAAGGGTAACTCCTCTGTTCTAAAATGTATTTTCTTTTTGAAAAACTAAGTTTATAAAATGCTTGCTTGCTTATTAATATTACATTCTTTGAACCTTCATAGTATTTAATTTTTTTTTTATTCCATTACTGAGTGACCTTAGATGAGGAACCCATGTGAGCCGTGATCAGGCATTATAGAGAAATTGTAGGCAGAAAGGGAAAAGTAAGGAATAGGAAAATAAAAATATACTATGTAAAACGAGGCTTAGTCTGAAGGTAGGAGTACATATAATGAAAGCAAATATCACTTAAAAGTAATTTTTCAAAGTAAAAGAAAGAATTTTAGAACAAAACGAGAGATATCTAAGTAGAAATACCAAAGGAATATTTTTAATATAATATCTTTTAAAGCCAAATTTTCATCCTTTGGAAGAACTTAGAGTTAAAATTAAATCTAGTACTGAACATATACAAGAATTAGAAGATTAGAAACAAAGATATTAATTTCTGTTGTTGAAAGTTGATCATAAAAATCTGCCCCATTATCTGGTTCATCCTCTCATTGATCATCATCTTGAAGTATTAGTGACTCATAGGAAACACAATGCTGATAGTTAGGATACTGACTTTAATTGACAAATGTCTCATTGCTGAAGGGAAAACCTGGAATAACTAAGTTATAATAGATCTTCTGGTTTTTATTTTCACAAACGAGGTGTCCATAGTTTCCATTATAAGTTAGTAGAGGGTTATTAGCAAATTTCTTCCTTTTGTTAAGTTGATCTTTGAGTGAAAATTTCTTGCATGGCCAAGGTCTTCAGTTGAGAAGTCCTGGATATCCTGAAAAATTTGAGGTTCCTCTGAGGTACATTTTATGCTTGGCGGGAATACACCTTATTCCTTTCCATAATCCAACAATTGTGCAGCCATTAGACTACGAATTTTGCCTTTTATTTCTATCTCTAATGGCTCAAAAGTGACTAAATTTATCTAACAAAATAGCTGTTGAAGTCAAGATTACACTGGCATCTTCCAAAACATTCTGGCATTTCTCTACATTATCTTTCTTGTGTGCATGGTCATTCTTCATCATCATAGAGATAAGTCCATTGATAAGCCATATCGGGGCATTGAACTCTTGCTATGGAAAGGTCCTGGAGAAACTATTGTATAGTAATTAGCTCATTATTTCCACTATCTTTGGTTAGGGTGTATATATATAAGGCTTAATATCCTTGAATTCTTGACTTTTCTCACAAAAAGATTAAATGATAGAATGCCTAAAGAAATACATTCTAGCATTCAATTAATCAAATTCCTCACTGGTGAGTTGCTTGATTTCTTGGATTTGAACAAGAGTGGGTGATTTATCTGGAGTTAATATTTTAAGCTGGTTGGTTAGGGTTCAAATGGTTTCTCTCAATTGTTTTTCTTCGTCTCGGAGCTGGTCTAGCTGTTCACCGACTCTTTTGCCCTTATTCATGATTTTTTTGAAATTTCTAGTAAGGCCTTCGCAATGTCTGCATAATTGAAGAGAACTTTGTGATTATCTATTAAGCTAAGGGTTAGTACTACAACTTCCTGTTATCTGATTGACTAGAACGCCACTTGTAGCAAGAATAAATAACTGCATCTTACCCAATGTGTCTAGATAATCTTTGGTTGTCTAGCTAATTATATAACTGGTTCCTATTTCTCTGAGGGAATATGTATTAGTTGACTCAAAATCATAAAATCCTTTGAGCTGAGGTAAAGGAAAATTTTTAACCAAATGTTCAACTTTTATCCAGTCATGGTAAATGCTAGGTTAAGCTCTTTTAGCTACTACATAGAAGGAGAAACTTCTAGATAAGGGTTTATTCTAGATTTTTGAAAAGTATATACTAAGGGAATTTAGGACTGACAGACGTTTAGCTAGGTGATTAAGGTTATTTCAAAGGTTATCTAAAAGACACTGTTGAATCAGATGTAGTTGGATACTTGTTAAAGGTTTGAACTTGGCTTTACCCTTATTGATAGGAAAAGCAAATCCTCCAAAATTCATTGTCTTGTTGTTCTCCATTATCTGCACAAAAATTAAATTGGCTATCTTCTTTGTCTACATATATTTTCTTACTTAGTCAATCTGTTAACTTATTATCACTCATCTTAATATGTTCAAATTCTATTTTATATCCTTGTCCTACTATATAATCTAAGAATTTTGCCCATCTTCTACTACTAAATTTATGCTCATTAAGTTTATTGTGAAATTTGACTATAGCCTTGCAATTAGTTCAAATTGTGAAAGGCTTGTGTAAAAATAATCTGAATTTATTTATTGCATATATTACCCCAATATTTGAAAATCTAAACTAGTCATAGGTGTATATTTTTCCTTGAATTTTCCAAAACTGTATCTACAAGTACGCTCTTTATTCTTACTGTCATATTTACTAGGCTTAGCTAATATTTACTAGGCCTAGCAATACAATTCTGTTTGGAAGATTTCCAACATGTCTGATGGCCTTTTCAAGTTAAATGTAATGATCGTTGTACCCTCAGTTATTAATAATACTACATCTTCTTCTTACTTGCTTGAGTCTTCAAATTTATGGCATGGTAGACTAGGACATGTTAATTATGGATCTTTGCGTAGATTAATTAATATGGACCTCTCGATCTGCAGTCGAATGCTCTACCACTGAGCTAAGGACCCGGTAGGGCCCTCCAATTGTTGGAACAATCTTCTGTGTAAATAAAATAACTTGAAATAAACAAAATAAATAAATAACATACCAGATTTATTTATCGAACCGAAATAAAATTAAGACCAAGTCGAGTGTGTGACACTCTGTCCTTAAGACAGATTCGCCTCGCTACGGTACTTACGGTTGAGTGGCGTCTATCTCCCAGGATACAATGATCTTCACAAATTGTAGTAGTACTCCAAACAATTTGTTCGGCGAACCAAACCTTGTGTTCTAATACTCTCTTTTATTTATTCCTAAAAATATAAATGAAGAATAATGCACTAAAAGAAATCTGGACAGCAAAAGAAATTTTCTTAGACTGCTATCCATATCTCAAGACTGCTGGAACATGACTATATATAGGCAAATTATCTGACCCGAAAATTGAATAGGTGTGTTTTAAATTCAACAGGTGCTATTTTGAAAACACACAAATATGCAAACTGTTCAACAGATTCTGCTCATTTGTACAGGAACGGTTTTCCTTCCAAACAATTTGAAAGTAGCCGTTGAAAAACTGTTGACCAAATGGTTTGAATACTTGTCAACAGTTTTTCAATGGCTACTTTCAAATTGTTTGGAAGGAAAACCGTTCCTGTACAAATGGGCAGAATCTGTTGAACAATTTGCATATTTGTGTGTTTTCAAAATAGCACCTGTTGAATTTAAAACACACCTATTCAATTTTCGGGTCAGATAATTTGCCTATATATAGTCATGTTCCAGCAGTCTTGAGATATGGATAGCAGTCTAAGAAAATTTCTTTTGCTGTCCAGATTTCTTTTAGTGCATTATTCTTCATTTATATTTTTAGGAATAAATAAAAGAGAGTATTAGAACACAAGGTTTGGTTCGCCGAACAAATTGTTTGGGGTACTACTACAATTTGTGAAGATCATTGTATCCTGGGAGATAGACGCCACTCAACCGTAAGTACCGTAGCGGGGCAAATATGTCTTAAGGACAGAGTGTCACACACTCGACTTGGTCTTAATTTTATTTCGGTTCGATAAATAAATCTGGTATGTTATTTATTTATTTTGTTTATTTCAAGTTATTTTATTTACACAGAAGATTGTTCCAACATATTCTTCCAGTATCTTTCTTTTTTATATTTTCCATATCTTTTGTATTTTCTTATATTATATTTATCTTCATATTGCTGCAGAGTGTATATTATGCTACTATAGAAACCATAGTTTTGTTTTTTCAAATCTTTTCATATTTTGACTTCTATACATTTTTCTCTAAGCCTCTAAAATGTAAAAACTATTCTAGGTCCTATTTCTAAATCTCTTCTTATATTTACTTCGCATGTGGCTATTCTCGCTGGTAAGATTGTATAATAGAGAAACCATTGATTCTGTATTTCTCTTCCTAATTCTCCAGGTAACTTTCTAAAATATTCATTCGCTATTTCTTCATCAAAACTTTTTTCTGTCCTAATTGCTATGGCTAGATATTCTTTACTAAAAGGTGCAATATATTTCCAACTCCCTAGTGTTATCTTATCTAGTTTAGTTAATGCTATGTTTTACGTATAATCATTTCTTCTAAAGGGTCATATTCTATAAGCATTTCTTTTATAAAACTGGTAAAATTCCATACGTTATCTCTTAATCCTTTAAGTTGTCTAATAGTCTCCTTATATTTTCCTTTAAAAGTTAAATATATATTACAAGCTAAATCTCCTAAAAGTGTTTCCATGTATTCCCACATATCATTTCCTTCAAAGGGATTATTCATCCATGCTTTTACTCCGTCTTTTTTCCATTTTTCTATTACTTCTTGCCATATCTGTGGGTCAAATTTAGCTAAGTCTAAAAGGGTTCCTTAGTTAGTAGATGGTTGTAATTGTATGCTCATATATGGTTGTCTACGTTTTCCATGAAACCCATACCGTTTACTCGAATCTAGTTTACTACAGCCTGTATTGGTTAGAGGTCATCTTCTTTCTACTTCATATTGCATTGGTTCTATTGGATCTTCTACTATAAGTTATGGATTGCTAGTTCCTGTGCTTTCTGTTGTTTAAGAGAATGTTTGAGTATTTATATAAAAGTGTCTTCTATTTCAGACCGTTAAGGTGTTTTAAATATTTTACTAGGATGTATCTTATCTTCTAAAATATCATCTACATATTCGGTATGAAATTCTTAGTCTAAAAATGAAACTGCTTCATCATGGGTATCTCCCCTACCTATATATTCATAGTATCTAATATTTTATTCATATCCATTAGAGTAAAACTATCCAAATCTATCTCATTGATATTATATATCTTATTTTGTGATACCGGTTTTTCTTTTGTCATTACATAAAGCTAACTTATGCTACTATGATTATCTTGATTTTCTTCCTTATCTATGTTACTAAATTCATCTTCTTCAGATCTTTTTGGGGCTACCTTTGTATATTGAGTAAATCTTACTGCATAACTACCGTCTGCTTTTTGATATAGTAAGTTATCTCGAGGGGCTAACCTCTTTTGTCCTAAGAAATCTCCTAAATTCCAATCTAAGGCTGCATTATCTTCTGAACTATATTTTTTAGCTGGTAGTGCCCTTATTCCTTTTGCTCCAAATAATTTAATTATCTGATTATTTGTAAGTCTATAATGGGTATTACTTTTTGAGACCGTTAAGCCTAAAAACCCTGTGCAATTTAATAAATTCTTTTCTCGCTTTTTCATCTTATATCCTCTACATTTTATTCCTATTTTTATCTTCTTATGAAAGGTTGAGGTTTGTAAAAGAAAATCTTGTCTGAAATAAATTGTATTATTGTTAAGCAACATGCATAATAAAATTTGATAAGAACAAATTTTTGCCTCAAAAAAGGGTTGGGTCCTACACTCCTGCTTTAAATACATCTATTGTAGGTAACAAATATATTGCAGATTGCACATGGGCAACTTCAATAGATGACCCCATTCAAACTGCACGAAATGTATTTGATCATATATATTTCTAAGATTTAAGTAACTGAATTTTTGTATCATCACTTATGCTGCTTGTATGTAGTTTGATAAATTCTAGTGTTGTTAATGGATACTAATTTTCATATTCATTGGTTGATTTAACTTCCCCCCCCTCTTGCTTATTTATTTATTTATTTATTTTTGCAGGTTTTATTTTGGTAGTTGTTGATAAATTAATTAGGTGGGGGTGTGGGCATAGGTGGTGAGAAGTTTGATATGATGTTTCAAAGGAGTGTTTTTTTTTTTTTTTTTTTTTTTTTTTTTTTTTTTGTGGAGTGGCCAAACGGTGATACTGTAATCTGGAAGGTAAAGATTATAGCTGCTCTTGACAGAAATAATCATAGCATGGCTACAGCTGATAACCAAATTATGGAATAAGAAACTGAAGTTGAAGATTGAAATGCTGAAGCAAAAGATTTCATTCCTAAAGATTTGGTTATGCCATTTCTTGTGTTTTGTTTTGTAATGACGTTGTTAACTATGGATTTGAAATGAAATTTGTTTTGTATTTTGTAATCAAATATTGGTTGTGATTTGTTGTGTTGCAATGAAACTTTTGTTATGGTTTGATATGCAAATTGAATATTGTCTTAAATATGGTTGAGATGACATGGTTTGAAAATGAATGTTGCAATGATGGTTTGTTGCTTCTAAGTGGTTGAGAAGGAAGTGGTTGAGATGACTTCTATTTTGTGTTTTATTCATAGGAACTGAAGAAAATATTTTGAAATTTTGTCGAAATTATGCAGAAGGAAAATGCTCCGTAGCTCGAGAAAGTGAGGCTCGAATGGTACGAAAAATATTATCTTACCGGTAAGAGAATAAAAAAACATTCTAAAACGACGTCGTTTTGGGATTTCAAGCCACTCGAGCCATGGAAAATTCGAGCTACGAATCGGAACCGTATGCAGAAATAGTGCCAAAACTAAGCCAAAATTATAATGTTGAATTATTCAATTATCTTTTCTTAATGGTTTTAAAAATAAACTGTGACAAATGCATTAATCTGTATAAGCTAAAATGCATAAATGAAATATGTTTATGTAGATTTGTTTTTTTTTTTTGAATAAGTTGAAATGCATAAAATAAACTGAGGTTTAAACTTCAAATTGAGATTTAAATAAACTTAAAGTTGCTTGTCCCCACCTTCCCTCCCTAAAAATTAAAAAAAAATAAAAAAAATTTCCCATTGTCATTTAAAGATCAAACAGAGATCAAGCAAAAAACATTGAAAGAAAGTAGATCATTTGCAAGTTTGCTCAATCAACATCACTTTCCATCATAACTTTCTTTGCCTTCCCCATCTTTGTGCAATCATGGATTTTTTACTTGCATCATATCATTCATTGTCAACATTTTGGTTAAGCCAGTGGGATGCATAGGTGCCATTTCAAAGCCTCCTTTCCACGTTGAAGATGAATGATGACCCTAAAAAAAGAACAAAAAATTGAATGACATTTTTTTTAAACAAAAATATGTACTACTAGGATGGAAAAAATGCGTACTTAAAAGGGATACATGCCAAACCCTTTTCCAACCATAATGCGCACTTCCTCCTTGTGGCAAATTTGGCTGCCCAAAGAATGGACTCATCCTAGTAATACTTAGCTACCCAACCATGCTTGGCCGCATATGTGACGCCTTCTGAAAGTCATAACTCCTACCACCAATATGTTGTGACTGTTGGAATGCAGAACCCTACATTGTGTATAACATAATTACATACAACTAACAACTATTGATGATATAAAATAAAGATTCTTACATTTAAATTAATACTCTCTTGTGTTCCAAGTCCAACAAATCCCATAGCACAACTCGTATCATGCATGTTTCTATGGTTCATAGGCTCCTACAAAAATGTAAAATAAGAGAAGTTACGAAATATTATTAATAATAGTATAAAGAAATAACCAATCAATAAAATGCAACTACACCACCACCTTCTCGACACTTTCATCAATTTGCTTGTGCATATTTTCTTTATTGCTAGTGGTATGTGTTTTCTTTTTGCTTTCCTTTCTTTTCTTAATAACCTTTTCAACCTTGGATTGCTTCCTTTTGTATGGTGGGCGCCTTTTTGATGGATCAAGTATGTTTATGCTTTCTTTTGGAATTCCAAAACCATTCGCACATGACGTTGGATTCTTTTGATGAACTTTTGAAATATCCTCATTGCTTCTGCAACTCCCTTCTTTAAAGCTGATGTTTAACTCATACATTCGCTCCATCACCTTTTCATATCTATCTTCAGAATCTTCTGCCAACTCAGTAACCTCATAAAAGGCATTGCACATTTTAGCAAAGCAACATGCCTTAGATTTCATAGCCCCATTGTCATAACTGATCCGAACTTCTGTATGGCTTATTTTGACATTTTTAGACCACATTCTTAAGATGTACTTGTCCGGTATTTGATTAAGCTTCTTATGAATGAACACCACAATTTGATGCCTGCACAATATTCCCCTATATTCAAATAACCGGCAATTACAATCAACCTCACTGGTATCCTTATGAAAGCAAACATTAAAAGTTACACAACGCCGACTCTCTTCAAACATTACATCTTCAGCAACTTCATCTTTTGAAATGTCAACACCTTTCTTACATGAAGACAAATCACAAGAAATCTTCCCTAATAACTCCCGTTGAAACTTTTTAAATTTTGCAGTCATGTAAGTCCTTTGAAATTGTTTCTTCATCTCATAACAACTATGCATTGGATGCACGAGCAAAAAAACTGAATTCGTCATTGTTTTGATTTTCAACCTTTTCTTCCAAAGCATTTTCATATTGTTCTATAAATTGTTTCAAAGTAGTCTTGGAATGTACATACCCATCAAAGAATGCATGCATGCTTTCACTTCATTGTGTGGTTGACATTCATGCCTAAAAAATATCTTTAACAAAGGCTGGTACCCAACGATGCCTCTCGTCGTACAACCTAAGTGACCATTCATTGCTTTCAAGTTTATACTTCTCAATGAAATGTTCCCAATTCTTTTCAAATTCTTCTTTTGTTAAGGAATCATCAATCACAATTTGAATAAAAAACTTGATTGATTCATATTGTTTATACCCACTCAACTTTTTAGGAAGCTTTTTCATGATATGCCATAAGCACCATCGGTGTTGTGAATTAAGGAATGCACACTTTATAGCTTTTTTCATAGCTTTGTCTTGATCTGTAATAATTGCACTGGGGGGACATTCAGACATGCATGGAAGCCAAGATTGAAATAGCCACATAAAAGTCTTGGTGTCGTCTCCTATTATCAATCCACACCCTAATAATGTTGAGTGCCCATGCTGGTTTACACCTATGAAAAGAGCGAATGGCATGACATATTTGATAACCAAGTATGTTGTGTTGAACATAACTACATCACCAAATTCTTTGAATGCGACTCTACTCCTCGCATCTGCCCAAAATACATTTTCCAGTCGACCATCGTCATCTAAATCCATCATATAAAAGAAGTCAAAATTATCAGCTTGCATCTTCAAAAAGTAATTGTGCATAGCGATAACATCTCCTTTCCCAAGCTGTAAACGCCTAACTATAGCAAGATAGTTTCTTGCATCCTTCTCTAGAAATGACAAATTTTCATGCCCCCTACCTCAATCACAAGTGAATTGAAACTTTTATTCATTCTAATACCAACCACATTATTCAATTCAAGCCTTTTTTTCATGATTGTAGTGAGAAAGCTATGACATCTGTAAAATCAAGCTTTGCTTGGACTCACTCCATGGTTACGGTCAAGGACCACAAAGTTCAACGTCTACTTCCCATCATTGCATAAAATTGCACAAATCTTAGCTTTGCAACAAGTTTTTGATTGTGGTTGCAACTGATGGAGTTTACTTGAGTTGATCTAGGGCTTTCCAGTGTGGCTACAAGCAACTGTCACATATCTGACTTGCCCTTGTACTTTTCTAGAGCTTCTAATTAACATACCGAAACCCATTCCCAACAATCTCATCAATAGAGTAAAATGCATTCCAACCTTACGATCCTTTATTTTCTCTTCAACATTTTTATTTTTGTCATTCTCAATATGCCCTTCATTAAACTCCACACTTTGTTTCTTTATTTTCATTCTCAATGTTATTCTCATTATACTCCATACTTTAAAGTATTACTTAAAGTATTACTTGATATTTTTGTCAAATTTGAGAATTACTTGATGTTCCTTCCATCCCTCTGCAATAAATCATATGAAACTTTGTGAAAAAATATATTGGATTAGTAGGATTAATAATAGGAGTAAGAAAGAGAACCTTAATTTAAAAAAAAATTAAAAATTAATATTCTCAAACAAGGTCAATCAATTCGATTACAAGCAACATAAATTATACATTACTCAATATAGCACGAAACCAACTGTAACATATCAACAATTAAAATGTAGATACATTGATTTTTGTTTTTCATTGTTGCTTTTTATAGTACTAGTGCATTAATCAATTTTTTTTTTTCAAAAATAAGAACATCAGAAAATTTCATTAATAAGAAAAGAAACAGAATAGAGATCAAATGAGAACCCTACAAAAACAATTCAATTTGGCAGTCACTTAAAAGGTAGTAGACTTGGTCTATTGCAACATCAATGAAGATAACATTGACTGGATAATTTAAAAAAAAAATTATAGTAAAAACAACCATCTTAAAACAATGCAAGGACACCACCATCACTAAAGTAATATATTGGGAGGATAATAGATAACTACAACCAATGTAGGAAAAAAATGCAGGGTCATAATAACAGTTATGTAAAGAATTTAGAGAAACAAAAAATGCAAAGCCATAATAACAGTTTTGCATTTGGTGAGATGATGCAGAACGCGATTTCTTGTTGTGGAATGTAATAAGCCACAAAATCTGGAGCAAAAAGTTATATTGAACCTTTGACAGTATGTGCCTGGTGATGAGAGACGACAAAAGAGAACGATTGTCGTTTCGGTAATGTCGTTACCGCTAGTAATCGTCGTCTGAGTTGCTCTGGAACGTGAAAGGACAAAAAACTTCGGAGCCGAAAAGTTGTGCAGCAATAGAATGTAAGGGTTTAGATCAAGGATCCTCTCCTTGCCTTCTCTACTTGGTTCCCTCCTTGCAACAATCAAGATTCATCTCAAAAGAATCCAACGACCCAGATTACTTTATTAAATAAAATTAAAAAATACTTTTAGGTGACACCAAGGTGACAACAAGAAGAGAATCCTTGCTCGAAGGTTTAGGTCTTTCTATATTAAGTGGGATTTATAATTTTTAGGCGGCAATTCCATATCATCTATTAGTATATTAGTTAGTAAGGTAATTGGTGCATCTAGCAACATTGTATTATAAAAGCTAAAACAATCATAATTAATTTTGGATATAAAGGCTGATCATAAAACACAATTTAAAAGTATAACCGAAATCTTTAATACTAAATTAAGTTTATAATGACAAAGAACTAATCTTAATTTTATTAATTAAAATTCTAACTCACCATCCCATTTTTTCAAACCTCCCACAATAAAAACTTTTTGAATATTTTGTTAAACAAAACCATGAAATAGAATAAGAAACATTTTTTAATTTAAAAAAAAAAGATGCTTAAGCACTTGACTGTCCACATCTCCAAGGCCATCAACCATTCATCTTATGTTATTAATAGGTAATGCAACACACCTTCATCTTTAAATAATACACAAACTTTAATCAGAATTTTAATTTTTCACCATGAAATAGAATAAGAAACATTTTTTAAATTAAAAAAAAAAAAAATGCTTAAGCACTTGACTGTCCACATCTCCAAGGCCATCAACCATTCATCTTCTGTTATTAATAGGTAATGCAACACACCTTCATCTTTAAATAATACACAAACTTTAATCAGAATTTTAATTTTTCTAAGACATATTTTCCTACTCACACTTATATAAAAATGAAAACTATTTCAAAAATTTCTCACGCAATTCAAAACTACAAAATGACAAAACCACCACACATCTATTAAATTTTAATCATTTTATTTTATTTTATTTTATTTTTTAATAAAATTTGTTTTGCCTGCCGCTAAAAAAAAAATGCTATGTATTAAGAATACTAGTTAATTAGGCCCGTACAAGGCACATGCAACATGCACCATTTTTTTTTTTTTTTTTCTAATTTGTTTTTTTGAGTTTATGGTAGTGTTTTATTTAATTGAAGAAAAATATAATATAATGATTATTTGGTAGAGGTTAAAGAAGAATAATTTCATCTCAATTCAAATTAATCGGATATGTTTTAAATTCTTCAAAATTTAACTTTATGCAATTTTTTCAAAAATAAGAAGTCTTTTTATCCAACTATTGGAGAAAACAAGGAAAAATTATCCTTTTTTTTATAAAAATAAAAAAATAGAAAAATCTATTTGCACACCATACAAATGTCAAATGTTCGAATTTAAAATTATGAAAAATAAATTGTTCAAATATATATTCCATTCAATTATTTATATCCAAACAACTACTTTATGTTCATAAATTTATATTCAAACATTTGACTTTTATTTGAACACTATTTATGGTGTCTACTAAGAGTTTATATCATATGCAAATAGAATTAGCCCCCCAAAAAGAAACTCCATGAAAGTTGATTTTCCCAAAATAACCCTCAAAACTCCAAACACCCCCCCCCCCAAAAAAAGCAAAATTAAAAATTAAAAAACAAAGTAAGGGCAAAATAGGAATAGAAATACAAGCCTTTCCTAGCAAAGTAGGGTCACTCTATTTGCACCCCAAAAATTTGGTGGGACTGTAATGCCCCAAAATAATAACAAACCATCTCATGATATTTAATGGAAAAGCATAAACTTATACAATATTAACCTTTCATTGATTCTCTTTTATCGTATAAACGATGGCATATGTATGTACATATTCATAAATCCTAGACCCTGAATCTATAGCATGTGGCATGTAGTAATCACATGAAAGAAACGAAAGTATGAAAAGTTTATGGCTTAATGATTATATCTTTCTAATTCGATACTTGGTTACAACAAAAATGAGTTAAACTTAATACATATAAAGCTCAAGCTTGTACAATAAATATTTACATAAAAGAACAAAAAGAATGTAGCACTTGTATCCTTTAAACTATTAAAAAGTGTATTTAAATCCTTTATTTCATTTTAGGAGTCTTTGGAGTTGTTATATCTTGGTTTTGGAGGCATACAATTCGATTTAAATTTGTTAAGATTGTTCGTTTACGCTTGTTTACGTTAAAAAGTTCTTTGGAAACTTGGAAAATTTATTCTGGGGTCAACACTTGCCTTCTTGGGGGTCGACACCACTTTGTTACCTTACTCTTAGTGCCTCTGCTGGTTTTTGGGGTTGACACCTAAGTTCCTAGGGTCGACCCTTCCCTTGCTATTTTGTTTTGGGTGCATTGGGGAGTAGTTTAACATGTTGATGTTGAGAGGGAGAAAAAGATCTAATTTAATATTATAGACTCAATGGATTAAAAAGAGAGAAAGTTGTGTAATGTTTTGTGCTTTGACTACATTGATTGTGTATTTGTGTTAAGAGTAAAAAGGAAGAATTAACCATGGCATTGGAATTATTTTAGATTAATCATGTTAAGTTGAGTTGAGTTATGGCTTTGATATTCATGGATTTGGTTTTTTGAAATAAAGGGAATGAATTTTAGTTTTCTAAAACAAAGGGAATGGATTTTGGTTTTGTAAAATAAAGAGAATGGATTTAGTTTTGTAAAATAAAGAGGGTGGATTTTGATTAAAGAGATTGAACATGTTAACTTGGAAAACAAAAGAGTTGATTTCCATAAGAGAAAGAAACCATGGCATATTGTAAATCTAGAATTGATGCTCGGGGATGGATTTTAAAGCTTTTGAATATCGTTATTATCATTATTGTTGGGACTTAAGGTTAAATGAACATCGAATTATTGTATTATGTGTGTTTAAATATTTATGCTTAAAGGTTTTGTTCTTGGTGATCGGTGGAGGATGATATTGTGATGATGAATAGATTATGTGTATGTAGTATATTCGGGTTATTTATATTTGTTGAATTATGTAATGGTTGGGAATGTGCTTGCGCTTTAAATGAGAGGTACTATTACCTTCCAGCTAATGCCTGGAGAATTGGTCGCGCTTAGAATGAGATGTATCAGTACCTTCCAGCTAGAGCTTGGAGAACTTGGCAGAAGTACCATTACTTTCCAGCCGTGTCTGATAAATTAGCAGAGGTACCATTACCTTCCAGCTTGTGTCTGGTAAATTGACATTTTGTTATGGAAAGGTGTATCCTTGGCTTACCGTGCTTAAGATAGGTAAAGCATTGTTTTATTTCTCATTTTATCTCAGTGTATCCTTATCTATCATGAGTAGGTGATGGTTATGGTTGGGTGAGGCCGAATTGTTTTATGTAATAGTGTAGTAATCATTGTACATGTATTGATTTCATATCTGTGTTAGGACATATATGTATGTACATAGGCGTATGGGCGCGAGTTGTTGAAAGTGTTTCTTGACCATGGACTTAGGGCCAAGGGAATGTGATGAATGTATCAGAAGTGAACGTATATTTTGTATTGGGTATAAATGATGAGCAGTAATTAGGATTTGTGAAAGTATTTTTAAAATAATCAGTTGTGATGCGTTATTTATAAATGGGAAATGAGAAAGAAAAGTGAATTGTTTGTGTTGTTGAGTAAATTGAATGATTTTAAGAAAAATATTTTCAGTATAAACCGTCACATTATGTATATGATATGATATGATATAAAACATTCATGATCATAGCTATCTGTATGTTATTATTGTTTAGGATCATGTTGGGATCCCTACTGGACTTTATGTTCATCTCACGTTGTTAATTATTTTTCAGGTGAACATCGCGAAGTGTTTCATGGTCAAGGATCTTCTTTATCTGTCGGCCGCAGGGCCTTTTATTTGTGGGTAGAATTTCATTGATGTAAAAGGGTTAAACCCTTTCTCTCAATTTAAAAGATTTAAGCCTACGGGCAATTTATTTAATTATAACTCCTGTTGCATTCATATTGTATTAGGATAATAGAATCTTTATTCATGTGTTCTTGTAAATGTAAAGAGTTTCCATATGT